GCTCTAGTCCCCGCCCCAAGCCCCGCCCCCGCCACCATCCAACGACTACTGAAAATATATGAATGAAGTATTCTCCTTACATTCTTACTTTGTTTAGAAATGAATACGGTCTTCTCAGAACTCATATAATAAATTCAACCGTCAACACAATGACTTGTCCTTGTGACGCCGCTGCACGAATAAGAACTATTTATTTAAACTGCTATCTGTAAACATCCGGGGCGGCTACCAGAAGTATTTATCAAAAAAAAATCACGAACATTTATTTTTAAATAATTCAATTAAGAGCAATGGATACAGAATCAATTTAATCAAGTAATAACTGAATATCAACAGCATGTATTTATAATACTAATTCATTATTAAACAGTCTTCATACAACTTTTATTGTTTGGATGAGAATATAATAAAACTGTCATATTTATGAAACACATCGTATAATCAATAATAATAATAATAATCTAAGTTAAATTGTTCTGCTATTGTGTATCTAAAAGAGTTTTATACCTTAATCTGTCCACATGTTTTAAAAAAAAAAAAACAAAAGTGAGTAGCGTGTAAGTTCTTCTAGACTATGCTGTAAGTCTATGCCAAATCTCATCAAAATCCATTCAGTGTTAGGCTACAAACTCTAACAAACATCCATCCATCTAAACTTTCGCATTTATAATATTAGTAAGATTTAGTAGGAAGGATTTTTTAGTCTTTGACAGTACTTACACTATGTTTTGAGAAGAAAGTTCTCTCTTATCTTCGTTGACAAAAGACATCCGTTTCCCAGTATGTTCAACAATTATTATTTACTTTGTAAACAAGGCTGGTCGTAAATTAATATTGCATACAAGGTGATTGTCCTAAGGGTTATCAAGTGGAACCTTGTAATGAAGTAGAGGTTCATATACTAGCTTTTACCTTCAACTACATCTGTGCGGAATTATAAAACAACTTACTATATAGCTTATGTGTTCTTCCGGACTATATTCTACAACTATGCTAAATTTAATCAAGATTTGTTAAGCCATTTTGAAAGTATGTAGGAAACATGCATCCATTTTATAAGCATTCACAATATTAGGAAAAAGTAAGATAAAATTGTTTCTACATATCTAAAGACAACAGAAACTAAATTATATTCAAAGAATGGTCAGTTCTATACATGTTTTCAAAGACTAACAAAAATATACTAGCAATATATGTATATTTATTTAAATACTAGCCGGTTCAGTGCGGCTTCATCCGCATGAAATTATGAAAATTTTATTTTATTGTTTACATTTGTCAAATTACCAATAGCAAATGTCAAAATGACATGACATGACCTTGGCAATCTTGCTTCCTTGATGTTGGCAGCAACTTAAAGTCTCTTTCCCACATTAGGGTTTTTATCCAAAATATTTACCCCCTAAGTTTAATGGCGTGAAATAATAGCCTAAGGCGTGACGTAAGTGTACTTTTTTAATAAAAAAAGAACTATTCAAAAATATGGTGTAATTGCTGACATCTTAGGCAACAAAGAAGTGTATGTTTACGCTTTATTACAATAGTATAGATTACCTTAGTAGAGTTAAGTCTTCTAAGAATTCCGCTAATTGACACAAATATTAAGAATGCAGATAATACAGTTAAGGGAAAGTAGAACAAAGCAGAAGAAATTAACATACCTTGAAAATAAGTGGAATATTAAGTAAACTATGTAAGTTAAAATTATATTAACCTTTAAGAAGAGTTTTTTAGATAACTGTAAACTGGTGACAGTTTTAAAACAGCATTCTGTGGATTTCAAAAGACTTTTTTTTTGTAAATTAAGAATTTTCTTAAGGTTGTTAATGAATTAACATGTAAAAATGAAATTTTTGTTATCAAATGGGAAATAATTGCCTTATATTCAATTAAAAGTTTAGTAAAGTTTTTTTTAGTAAACATTACTAGTCTACGAGAACAATAATTTAGATCTATGATCTAACAGATTAAAAATTAACATGTTTTGTTCAATTCTCATAATTACATTTCCACATACATCAGTTGCTAATCACAATAAATACTGATTCAACCTTCAGATGAACAAAAATTTCTGAATCAAACAAATATTTTAACTAAATTATTTACTTCATTCTTCTTAATTTAATTTTTCAATTACATTTTCATTATCAGTAAATAAAAACAAAACAATTAGAGCAAGGTAACATTTAAGATCTCAACATTAAGTTACATTGTAGTTCAAAGAGATATGAAATGTATTGAATATATTGTAAACAGTAATAAATATTGTATATAAACCTTTTGAACTATTAAACTCCTTGCGGAAGTCGCGGGCAACAGCTAGTATTGTATAAAAGAGATAGTAATCTAAGATTGTCCCTTTCTACAATTTCATGTAGTTACAAAATAATCATAACACCTGGTACATTACCATCTCTTTCTTTCTTTATGAATAAAAAGAGATAGCAATAGTAGTTGCATATGGTGTTTGAAATTCAAGGTTAAGCATTCAAAACATTTGATTATAGCCTGGCCGGGAATAAAAAAAACATCAGCAATATTGTTGGTAATGTGATGTACCCCCAAATTATGGTTTTTATATTCTTGTTTCATCTGTACATAGTATTTAACATTTCAACTGATTTTAAAATTAAAACCATTCAATCAACAATGGCTTTATTATTGTGTGTTTATAGTTAGTAGTTATGATTTTTGAGTCTATTTTCAATGTTTCTATTACAGACCTACAATTTTAACTGAATAGCCGAACTGTACAGTTAGCAGCAGGCAAAGTTTTTACTATCAGTTTTAACTGTACAATTCAATTGTTCAAATAAAACTGTACCATGAAGGCTTTAGTGTTACAATAAATAATGTGGAATAGATATGAAATACCTTTAGTAATTATATATGAATAGATTGTATATTTGCATAGAAATATACTGTTCGACTGCGTTTCTATTTTAAATATATTGGATTTCCCCTTCTGATGTCATTTTAAGCATGACTCAGGGCTCTAATGAAACAAAATATATTGCATAATTAATTTTACTAATATGATAAATGCTAAGTTTAGAAGGATGGATTAACAAGTTGGAAAATATCTCCGGAACAGCTTATTGAATCTTGAAGAAGTTTGTCACAGAAGTAATTTTTTTTTATAATATAAGGTGGCAAACAAGCAAGCAGCCACCTGAATCCACCGAAATGGAAAGCAACCGCTGCTCATAAACATCCACCATTGCAGATGTGTTGCCTACCCTTAAATGACAGAGGAGGAGACACAAATAAAGAGGATATTTCCCCTTTCCCATGCATCTCCTCCACCATCAAATCCACTTTTCCTTCCCATTCTTTCCTTTTAAGAAAAGGGTGGAAAGGGAAAAGGACTAAAATTAGATCATAGTGTGGAAACATTAATAAAAGAATTCTTATATAACAAGGATAATTTAGTTTATTTTGTCATTTAATCTGTAGCAGTTCATTCTAATGTTTTATTGTCAGTACATCCTACTAATATTGAAACATGAAAGTATAGATGGATATTTGTTAGATAGTATCTCCAGAATAGATCAATGGGTTGTGATGGAATTAGACATAGATATAGAGCATAGTTTAGACAAATACATAAACTTTTTTTTTAATCCTTAACAGTAAAAATCACATACCAATGCAAGTAAACTAATAAAAGAAATAATAGTATTATCGGAAAGTGATTTAAGAAGTAAGAGATAATGTATAGGACAGTGTACATTGTTATATTTTTTTTTTCAAAAGTGGAGTTATTTGGTAATAATGACATCAAAAAGTGTTTATTTTTACATTTTCCAAACATTGCAATGTTCTTAATCTCGATAAGAACAAGTTCCGTTCTTCACAGAATATAGCAAACTTGTTTCTTTCGTTAGACAAACAGGAGATTAAGTTACCAAGGTAGCTTGCACATCCACAGGAATATTATGCTTCAATAACTTTTGGTTACAATAGCAACTTTACAATAGCGAATCATGACGAATTTATACAAAATTTTAGACGATAGTACACTGCCATATACATCACCTATTGATTTTTTTTTCAATTTGAAGTTCATAACATTTGTTAGAAAATATGAAGTAATGTTTTTAACTGTTTTATACTTTATAGTATTTACATAAATAATATTAAAAAGTTTAATGACAACAAAATTAAAAATTCTATATTCTATTTACATAAACACAATCGAAGGTAAGACGAAAAATAACAACAGTTTAGTATTGCATTTACAAACTGCATTTAATATTCACTATCGAAAACTGAAGTGAACGGTCTAATAATTACAGTGAATACAATGTGCAATATTCAATGAAGGTAAACGCGTAATACTTACAAGTGGAAGATTCGTCTTGTAATCCGATTACAAAAGATATTCTTCTTATTATTATCAAACACAGATGTAAATCAAACAAAAGCACGATTTAATTATATTCATCAGTGATTCTTTGCATAATAAAACTTAGACAGCATTAAATGCAAGTACCGATATCGTAAACACAAACAAATAAAAGTAACTCCGGCGAAACAAGTGTGATTGTCATACACTGGCACACATTTGCAAATCTTACACACTTGCAGAATTTGACGTTTTCCACATTTGACATGTCGCCTTGACTTAATCTAATGTTGCCGCCTGTTTTAAAATATTAATACCAATTGTTACCATCCTTTGCTATTTCCAAAATGAACAAACAGTAAACGTAAACACACTGTTCACAGACTCCGTTTGTTGATATTTTCTGTAATACCTATTATAATAAAAAAGATGATGCCTAGCTCTTTGAGAGGCGCTGCTATCGCTTGGTTTTGGTAAAAAATGTGTAAGACCTGCAGGGATTTAGAAGCTGTTATAATTTAGTATCACCAATACTCACCGGGACAAATAACTTGTCGGTCTATGTTTCGATCTAACGGCTAAAGTTTTCAATTGCGTACTAGCTAATGTTTTAAAAACTTATTGAAATACCCTTATTTATAGTAATATCATTTCAAATAATATAGGAGAACATTAAAATTTTCGACAAAAATAAGGTAGTTAAAAAAAAGTTGTATCAACAATTAAAGCTAGGCGTTATAACTAGCGCCATCTTTCGCACGGCAAACCGCAACTGATTAACTGAGATAAGAGCCACTTTGAAATGCACTACGTATAAACCAATGACCTAGTTACCTCGACCAGTAAAAATAGCGGGCGACAATAGCTCAAACACTATTTTTAGTGCGTATCTTTAAAATCCCAATCCACTCACCCTTATCTCTCGCATAGCATCGCATTGTTGTCTTAGCGAGTCGAGAATCTGTCAGCGCGCGAACACGGTTACGGCGCAAGACATAAAATACATCTATAGAACGCCATAGTACCGGCAAAATCGATATTACGCCGCGTAAAGCCAGTCCGAGTTGTTTTTCGTCTGAACATTAGTGCTCGTTTAGTTACCGCTAGAATTTTTAGTTTAGTAAACAAGGGAACATGTTTTAAAGGAAGACTGTAAAATGGAAGGCAACTCTAAAAGGTACATACGTAGCGAATCAGCGAGTTGTGCACACATGGTTGAAGAGAATTCTGCAACGACTAGAAAAAGTACTGATCCCCACGAGAAGTTGAAGGCTCTGTTAAACTCGCCAGAGGAGGACACGGACGACACCCTGCCGCCTTCAGACGCTCCTAAATTCGGGACTGTCATACACAACAGGATCTTTGTGGGTGGGTTTTCTCTGACGACCACTGACGAGGATCTGTGGAAGTTTTTCTCTGGCTTCGCAACGGTGACCGCTGCCAGGGTGATCTACGACAGAGCTGGTGTCTCCAAATGTTACGGCTTCGTTACATTCGCAAGCCCGAGGGTTGCCAGACTTATTGTTAAGCAGGTTAGTACAAGACACGTTTTTTTCCTTTGTTAATATTACATGTATAACAAAACATTTTAAAACATTCCAATTTCAAATGTTTTACTAACAAATTCTTTCAATTAATTATTTCGGTAATTTCATTGTCTAATTTTGAATTTAGAATGAATTTGGATTTCATTTTTAATTTATAATGGCGGTGGTAAACAGTCAAAACGCGGCATTGAACTTGTTAAAGGTGACCAGATTTTTATATCTAATCATTAGTTATCAGAAGGTGATAAGATCTGAGTGTAAGCAAGACAAGGATGCTGCGAATCAAAATGGTCGTACTTTAATGGCGACATTAAATAATTCTTTAAGACAACAATTTTAACTTTATCATTTCTATGATTTACGATATCCATCTTTTTTATGCGTACTTTTATAAATAGACTTTGCTGTTTCATTTGTTGTTTTTATTTTATTTTTAAATTACGGAACAAATCCAGCAAGACAAAACCCTGGTCAGATCTATTGTGTCTATAGCATCACACTGCCATCTGGTGGTCTCATTCCGAGGGTTTTTCTTCGTTGATGATCAGCTTTCTCTGACAAAATCAATTTTCCACAATCAGGAGTAAAACTATATCAATAACCTCAGCTAAAATCAGGTGTAACATTTCAAGTTATTTAATACAATTGTTTTTTAAAGCCATTCAGATGGCCTACTGCCAAGTTTCGTAGCAAATAACTACTTAAGAGTAATTAACTGGTTTACGGCAGCCGCGGCAACGGCCGTTGATTCCTTTGTTAATGATGTTTAAGGGTTTCCCGACCATAAATATGTGGGCTTTTTGGTTTATTGTTTACCATAGAGAAACCTCGATATCTTATGGTAATTTGCTTCATTATGACTGAAAAATGTCTGCCCGGAAAATTATTCAGCTTATGGTCAGTATCACCTGTATAATGCCAGCACCACACCTTCCCATTTAACTACACAATCGAACTCTGTAGTAAAACAGAAGTTGTGTGTTGCTGGCTTAAAGATATCAAATTGTTTTTAAATACAATGAGTGTGATGGCATTTTCTCAGTGGAAATTCACATTCATTACATGTTTAAATTTGGATGATCACTTGAAACGTAATCTTTTCGTGCGCCAAACTCTTTAGTCTACCAAACATTAAAGCCTATGTACCCGCGTTTAATTACAGGTTTATGATAAAAAAAGTCTATCTTTTCTAACGTAGAAAGATATGCATCCTACACACCGTGGGTTATAAAATCAGAAGCTACAAGGTCAAACATGGTCTAGACAAACGACCATTGTCTAGACGTGTTTCAGTTCCGTGCACCAGTTAACCCAATTTATAGGAGTTACGTTTTTGTCCCCATAGTAACGCTATCTTTGCCTGCACTAAAATAACAATATCCTTCGGTAAAAAAAACTACTCCGGATTCGTAGTAATTCAAGTCAAAATACTTTTTAAAAGATACATAATGTTGATGTAAGAACACCACTCTTCTACAATAGTCTTTTGATGTCGACCAGATATAAAACAAAGTTTTGGGTCCACTAGTCTGTATAAATAGATAGGCAATTGCTTGGAAATTACCGCTTTAGCTTCGTTACGGCTCAAATGCTATTTCTAATGTTACTGGCAGTGTTCAAAACCGCTATTGCCAGCTTTAAAACGGTGGAAACCAAATAGGCACAAAATACCACATCTTATAAGTCTATATTTTATAGTCATAAAATTATGAAAATTATCAAAATACAGACTAAATTAGTAGAAAAATGGTCACTAATTTTTTCTTAATTTGTTTCCTTACTCCTATTTTTGGAAATATTTGTACTTTATTTCTAAACAGAAACTTCTAGAAATTGTATCGATTATGTATATTGATTAACGTAAAATAACATTGATTCCTACATAATCTAACCGACCTTAAATCAATAAAATAAGATGACAATAAATGTTGCCTAAGATTTTTGGTAAGTCTCGGCAGTAAAGACTAGACGTCTGCAAATAAACTAGGTTTTATGTTCGTCTAATGTTCACAACCGAATAAAAGAATGATCTAGTCTTGCTTAAGACAGCGAGGCATTTGGCACAGAATCTTTACCTACCGAATTTTAGCATAGTAACAAAATATAGGCAAATATGGAAACAAGAAATCTTGGTAGTTATAAACAGATACCTTTGATTGAACGAATTCAGAATTTCGCAATACTGGTAACATTGCTGCGTTTAACGTAATGAAAATGTATTCTGTAGTTTATACACTGATAAGATATTTCACCCGGGGAGAATACGTAAAACTATTATGCTCTTAGCGCCCTCTATCTTATTTTCTATGTGCATGTAGATTTTACATTTTACAGTTTATTATCTATACTAATGTTATAAAGAGAAATACTTTAGTTGATAATCAATAGGTTAAAAAACTACTGGGCCGATTTTAAAAATTCTTTTACCGTTAGAAAGGTAATTTATCTGTGAGTAACATAGGCTGTATTTTTTATTTCTTTTTATTATTTTTAAATTTCACGCGGACGAAGTCGCGGGCAAAAGCTAGTGAGATTATAAATGCGAAAGTTTAGATGGATAGATGTTTGTTAGAGTTTGTAGCCCAAACCGCTGAACGGATCTAGATGAAATGTGGCATAGACGTAGAGGATAGTCAAGAAGAACACATAGGCTACTCTCTTTTTACGTAACAAGAGATGTCAAATTAAAAATCAAAAACTAAAAATCCGAATTATGTTTTCTTTCAAGAGTTTCTTTAAAATGGAGCATGATTGCCCTTTATATCTTTTCTTAGATCTAAAAGCGTAGTAAAACTCGGTGCAGCTGAGCTGTATCAAGAAAATTACACGATTCTTGTGCATTGACCTTACACAGTGGCGCAATCTGCAGGGACCTTTTTTAGTTGTTTAGTGGCCTCTCGTTTAGACTGCTTCATATTTGTCGGAAAGCATATTCAGTGAAAAAATACATTTTGTTCTTATAAAACGAAAAGCTTTTAATTTCTATGATTGGTGTTAGATAAGTTATTTTAATGTTCTTTGCATGTAATAGTTATTCTACAATACATTTTGTGTAACATTGAAAATATCTGTTATACAAAGATTTTATAAAGCTAGGTAAAATAAATAATTTGAATGAATGAGAGATTTATTATGAGCAACATTCGAAGACACTTTTCATCAAACATTATTACTTACGAAAACAAGATATAAACCGACAAGAAACATTGTTTTTGGTTTGAGAAAATAGAAATAACAAACATTTTTCAATGTGAATTTTACTTTAAAAAAAAAGAATGATCAAAATCGGTCCACTAACAGCGGAGTTATTCCGTAACACGCATAAAAAAAAACATACAGACGAATTGAGTACCTCCCTCCTTTGGGAAGTCGGTCAAAAAACATCAAGCTATAATTTCTAAGTTTAGTGTTAGAGTGCTGTTAAAAATTAGACTATTTTTTTGTTATACAGATACTTCACTATAAGAGCTGTAACTTAAAAAATAGGTATTGTGCTATGATTAGTTTTAGATCTATTTGTATTGTAAGTGTCAAATGACCAGTAGGGTAGGAAATAAACGTCCCCAACTAGATCTAATGACGAACAACACTTTCGAAACATAAGAAGCAACAAAATATATTTGAGTAGTTATTTATTTTGGCATAGTCGCTGAACTGAAATAGGAAACATTTTAAAAGTATAAAATAAACTTCCATTAGCGAAAGGAAAGAAACCTCGGTTGAAAAGGCATTTTAAAAAGCACTCGGTAAATCCGTCGCATTGCTTTGCCCTACAATTATATACTTCATCTATGTACTGAGATACTACGTTTTGTCTACAATATGATATTATAACTTAGTATTAAATAACCTTTTATTAAATTTACAGTGGTAGTGCCAGCTTTAATATTTTAGCACTGCAGGGCCGGCACGCCCGGTGTAATACCACGACCACACAGAAGACAGGCGTGAAATGGAAGCAATTCCGTGTTTCGTCTGATGAGTGTGGTGCCGGAGGCCTAATTTAAGTCCCTTTCCCTTTACCATCCCTTTCTTTTAAGGAGAGGATGGGAAGTGGAAGTGGATTTGACGGTGGAGGAGATGCATAGGAAGGGGAAGTATCCTTTTTATGTCCGTCTCCTCCTCCGTCGGTTAGGGGTAGGCAACGCTTCTGCTATTGCGGATGTCTATGGGCAGCGGTCGCTTCTCTATTTTTGCGGATTCAGGTAGTCGCTTGCTCGTTTGCCACCTTATGTTATTAAAAAAAAACCTAAATTGACTAATAAAATACATGCATACAAACTTGTCCGTGTCCGCCAGGAATTGAAAAAAACAAAAGTAAGTAAGTATATGTATTCTTTCAGACCGTCCAGATACGTTCAGCTGTGTAGGCTATAATTTCTAACAAATATCCGTCTAAACTTTTGCATTTATAATATTGGTTTGATAGTGTGAAGTAAGATTTTTGCAGCAACATAAAAAACAATGCAATTATATCCATACATAACATTTACTGTAATACAACGTTGAATTTAAGGTAATTACAACAAAACCGATGCGAGACGTCACACGCTCCCCTGGTACGGCAGCCATTACGTTGATTGACAGTGAAGTGGTACTCGGAATAGTAATAAACTTTATTTGTATTAGTATTAGTTAATTAAAATTTATACAAATTATTTTAGAAGTGTTTATTTGTTCAAGCTCTACGAGTGTTCTGGGCGACATCTTTAAAGCCCCGTCGTTTTCTACTCTGAGAGTCATCTTTCTCCTTGTCCTACTCCAGTAATGTCGACAGGTTTTTGTCCTCCACATAACTGTATCATCAACATCTCAGTCATCACTCCCTTTTTGATCATGTCACCACACATTCCATCCATCTCTTTCTATGTCTACCTCTACCGGTGTACCACACTCATGACTAACGTCCTTCTTGTAACTTGCGATTCGTCACTTGTTTTTTACCATGACTAGTTTGGATTAAGAGCGTTAAGTAATAGTAATTT